CGTGGGTCAGGGTCATACGACAGTACCCGGCCACGAGACCACGGAGAGCGTGACGGCGCCGTCCACCTGCTTGAGCACCTCCACGGCTGTCGAGTGCGACGTGGTGCGCAGGCTGTGCTCGTTCACTGACAGCAGAATGTCCCCGCACCTGAGGACAACGTGGGGCACAAGGCATAAGTAATAATAATAACAATAATAATAATAATAATAATAACAACAATGACACTAGTAACAAATCAAGACAAAAATAATTATCATTATTATCATAATAATACATTACGATTTTTTCTGGCTTTTTTAAAAGTTAGGCTTTGAGTTTCAATAAAATATTTTTCGAGCACAGGCAAGCTATACTATAGATTTAGAAACTGCAATACAAAAATAAATGTGAGGCGTGCTGACAAAATGATTTTTGTTCCTCAAATTTTTCCCGATGTACCAAGATGTGTTCACTTTATAGGTGTAGATTGTTTAAGTCATAAGTATGAATGAAAAGATAAAAGACATATTTTAATCGGAAGAAAATGGCATGAGTTGAAAAATCTACAAAATTTACCCCTGTGTCGATTTTAGGCTGATATTTCCATTTTTGGATTGCAAAAAAAGACTTATTTTTGTCAAAACGTCTGACAAATTTTAATTTTGAGCTTAATACACCTGAACATTCAGCCAAAAAAAGGGTAACCTACTTAGTGCTCCTCTAATATATCTCAGGGATAGTCGACTGCTAGTTCCTCAGTCTGAATTGCAACGGGTTTTTCCACATACGTGACCATTTTTTCCTACATTACAGGGCACCATGCCTTCAGGCAGTCACATTCCGATTTTGAAGGCAAAAAGAACTTACTTCAGACGTCCATCCTTGGCAGCCGGTGTGTCTGGCACAACAGACTTGACAAAGATGGGGAGGTTGCCATGACTACAGTCCGTTCCCCCGACGATGGAGAAGCCCAGGCTGCCAGACGGCGACCTCAGCAAAGTGATGGTCTTCACCAGGCGGCAGGCCCTGTGGGCGGAGAGGTTTGAGATCGAGTATTAGTTTGGGCTAATCTCTTCATATTGCAGAGTGAATTTTTGTGCTTCACAGGGAAGATGGGGAAGGGGAGAAGGGGAGTTGTACTTAGTCCACTGGTCGTTGCCTATAATTAGACTTGTTTTGTAAATCCAACAAAGTGTGTCTAAAAGCAAAAATGACAGGTTTTTGAGAAGGACTCCACCATACGCCATCATATTAAAACGTGCTGACGTATGACAGACTCCTACACCGAGCAGTAGAAAAGATTTCTTTTTCTAGAAATAAGATTGCTGAATTTGAATCCGCTATTAATTTGACCTACCTTCACCGCGACACCCAAAAGGGTATAAGCGGCGGATAAAAGTAAAGTAAAAGTATTAATTTTTAAAAGCGTATCTACTCTACAGTGAATACAAAATATAATAAACAGCTTCGCAAGGCATGAGAAATGCCATTCATTGTAACAGTATCTTGCCTTCTTTGATAAAAAATGCATGTGACACCATTTAGATCATTTAAAAGGCAAGCTTCTGCCTCTGCCTGTTAGGACCAACCTGCAATATGAACTAACAAATAAATAAAAAAATAAACAAACAAATAAATAGCACATGCATAGTACATATCCCTGCTCAACAGCAAGCTGTATGCATAAATTTACAATCTGTATTACACTTTTTAACAAAATCTGAAAACACAACACGGTCAGCGTGACCGTCCTCAACATACACAGGCATCTGCAGCCAGAAGATCCAGGAGGGGACAAAGTTGTGCTCGCCCGCGTGCGTCTCCCGGGCGTCGATGACCCTCAAGGTCAGGACCTTGACCTCCGAGTTCTTCCGGATCTGCTTGACACTCTCCGGGTGCGTCAGGTTGAGCAGGTTACTTGAGTTAATGGACACCAGGACGTCTCCTTTCTGTAATGGAAATGGGACAGGTTTTTGTTTTAGTAGAGGTTTTACGGCACTCGCAACTGCATAAGGTCACATGAGCGCCTGAAGATTAGATGCGTTACAAGAGAGTAACAAACATAAAAAAGAAGAAGGGGAGATAAGGACGATAGATGTTTGATAGGAAAGAAGAAGCAAACCACACCAGAGCAGCTGCCAACCACCCACTGGTACAGGTTTAATGCTCATATCAACACTAATAGGCTTATTTAAGAGGTGGGACCTCTGAGTTAAACGTCCATCTCTGAAATGACTGACCCAAATGGGAAATTCATGTAAAGCGCCTTTCCCAAGGACACAACCCCGAATTTGCAGTCTCACGATTACGAGCCCAATAGCCTACCATTAAGCTACCGACGCCACCTCCTTTCTGTACCAGACAAAAGCACAAGAGAAAATACAGCGACTTTTTCTTTATTCTTGCACCAAAAAAATGTTGTTTTTTTAAATTTCAGTAAAAATTTTACGGCACTTGCCACACAATAAAGGTCAAATAAGTGCCAAAGATTAAAGGCAGGGTTCTCACTCATCAAGAGAAAAAAAAATTTCCTGGCTTTTTCCCCGGTGCTCTGCTGGATTTAGAAACACTTTCAAAGTGATCTTATTTTTTAAAGATGACAGAGGTCAGAAGAAGAAAGAAAAAGAAATGCATGATAAAAACTGAATCATGGCCATGGACAGTCCCCTTTCCTGGGGTGTCAGTGTCAAGGACAGGGATTATAGGATATGTAGTGTAATGTAAACAAAGGTGCGATGAAAGACGCTTTGGCAGCCCGTCGTTGTTGAGGCAGGGGGGAAAAAAAGAGGGTTGGTGTTACTTACTGGCTGTTGGCTTGACTCTTTCAAAAAACAAAAAAACATAGGCGAGACGCGTCATTAACCTTTGATCCTGATTGTACATCATTACACAACATGCACACACCGCAGCTGATTGTTTCAGGTTTCAAACTAGATTCCGACTTTTAAAAAAATTTCACTCATTGGCTAAGACCTTCACCCACAACACAAAGGCACAAGAAGAGGAGGAGGGGAGTATTTTTTATAGTAGAGGTTTTAAGGCGCTCGCAACTGCATAAGGTCATATGAGCGGCAGAAGATTACAGGTGTTACAAAAGGGTAACAAACCTAAAAAAG